GCATGCTGCTATCTGAGTCCGGATGGGGAATATAAAAATGAAATCACAGATTGCTGTCACTTCGAACAACGACTCTCCGGAGAGCACTAATGCCCAATTATTTAATGAGTGGTTGCGATCTCTAGTGATGATTACAGACGTTAAGGGGGAGTTTTATTTTGATACCGTATATGAGATGACGATTGGAAGATTTACCGTTTAGGTTATATATCGACCGAAAAGTGGTATTGGAAAAGCAACAGTGGATTTCGCAACAAGTCGGGATTAGTAGATTGAGAAGGTGAGCCGCTAGATCGTGATCCGCCAATGTGGGGCGGTCTCCACGTGCACGTAACATGTCCACCTCTTTCTGACCCCGTTGTGAGCACGGCATTGGGGACAAAAGATGGGATGACCGATTAAGTAGACAGGTGTTGTCGTCAAGGCCGTGTAAACACGTGGGCGTCGAAAAAATGGCGTGTGGGAAGAGCGGAAATGACCGCAACATGGGTACTCTCTGGAGGCAGAGTGAATGTTTTCTAAGTAGTTGAATGAGTAAAGGGAATTGAACTCCCAAACCCAGAATCCGCCCGAGTAAACAAACTGGTTACCCAATAAATGTCGTAAAACTGACGAGGGCAAAGGAATGGCAGCCCACACGGAAGGATCAATCGCGCTCTTCATTGAGTATAGCATAGCAATTATAGTGAGAACCAAACCGGGACACAGGCTGAATGAAAAACAAAATCGAATCACACGTCCTTAGAGAACGATGTTCAAAATAGAATTAATCTGTAAAATGTTAAGACGGGGATAAAACCGGCTGTATCCCAAGTGAGAAGCTCAGGCTAGTTACAACGTCACCTATTGCACCTTGACCGTAAATGGGTGGCCCCAGAGTTCCGGACTCGCAGTACTAGCGTATTTTGATCAGCACTTTAGGACTACCCAACTTTAACAGAGTTTAAGAGTCGGGCACTATTGTGCAATATGCTTCACAAAGAAGTTGGTGGTTCCAAAGTTGATCATGTTGGACCCAAGTTCACGTGTGCACGAGCAGGGACTGACCCAATTTTGTGCGTCGTTTTCACTACACATCATGAAATACCATTCACAATACAGTATTCAGAGATCCACTGACAGCAGTGAACTTGAACCGTAAAACCCGGTAAAGCCAGAAAAGCTGAATCCGTGGCACAGTTGACACCGGGGATTCGTAATCGATCCCATCGTCCTGATATCAGCAGTGGCAATGCGAGGGTGGAGTATCGTCAGATGAGTTGAGAATTTTGCGCCCAGCAAGGTGAAATCAGCTGCATTGAGAGTAAAGCTTTTAGTCAGTAGGGCCCCAGTTCATCTTTGATTGGCTACATGACTCAAAACAATGCGAATGTGGCTAATGGAAGCCACGCTGCACTGCTACGCTCCCGGAGAAGGTGGTAGTGAGGTTTGATCGTCGTGGAGATCACCGGACCACGATGCTGGGGTGGGTAGTGTGGTCCACCGTTACCACCTCATGGAACCAACTGGTGTGACGGTGATTTCAAGACTGCGCCACATAAAGATATGCATACGGCAACCAGGTAGCCATAAGCAGTTCATGCAAAATCAACAGTGGTTGCCTAAGATGCGCTTAAGTGCGCCGACGACGGCCAAATGTTCACGAAGTGTAGGAAGGTCGGACCTATGTGATGCTATTAGTAAGGTTGCAATGAATTGTACAATGGGATCACGGTGTTTGGTAGTAGCTAGTGTTTCGCACTGAGTAAGAAGCAATCCAGAAAAATCTGCCCAACTGGCAGAAGTTAACGCAACCGAATGCGGCAAATGCATCTTAAGTGCACATCAGGGTGACGGCATATGAAGTGCGATAATCTGTTGTCAAGAAGCAACTCATCACCGCAACGAGCTTTTGTACTCGTCTGTAGACTGGTTTCAGTCGTCAGTGACGAGGTAACACGGCAGAATACTAAAATTGGCCCTCAACTAGTGGCTAGTACAATGAAACTACATAATCGAAATCGTTAGGATCCAGATATGGACCATTTAAGGTACACCGTCGCTAACCGGCATACATTGTGCTAGTTGGACTGTTCAGTCGTTCATTTAGATCTTCATACTGAAAATGAGCTTCGGTTGATCATATGCGCACCTTCAGTGAACCGTGGTAACTAAGACATCAAGCAGTGTTCCAGCGCGCATGTCGAACTATGCGTTACCAGTTTACAGGTTTTAAACCAACAGAGACCTGCAGCAACGAATATGGTCACGCATGCATCAACGTGTCAACCGACTCGTATGCAATATCGATTAAGCTCACTAATGGCCGTGACAGTTGGGGTAAACAACCAATCAGGCGGAGGGTCCTATCGATTTACACCGACGTGGAGGCACGAAAACACGTGCAGGCAGCTATGAGCAGAGCTGCGTCATGTAATAATGGACCTGCAATAGTACAGCGAAAGAGCTGATGAGTGAGTTCCGCATATTAAGTGTTACAGAGATAATGCAAATAAAGTTTTGTTAAGGCATAACATGTCGGTGGATGAGTTTCCAAATGCAACTGACGACTGACCCCAAGTGAGCTAGTGAGAGCGTATCCGTCGGGAGCTAACTACTCTAATCATAAGCCAACGTGGTGGAAGTAATTCATGTGAGAAGTATATATTGCTACCTTTTCGATGGGTCAATTGATGAGTTGCGAGCAAGTTGTGTCAGATATCAGAGAGCACTTCATCTAGAGTGCTAGAAGGAGAGGGCCCAATTCGCACCAGTAGGTTAGTGATTCCGAATAGCATGGTCAGGTGAAAGGGCCAAAAAATACCACTTTATGTATCACTGTTCGGTAACGAAACGACAATCCCAATACCATGAGTCATCTCAGAGTTCCATTTGGGTGCAGGCACGATTTCGGATTGTCTAGGGCAAGGATGTGACTAACGTACTCAAAAGGAAACCTGCGGATAATGTAGAATGCAACTAAGTGGAAAGATTCCTTGTACTCTGTTCACCTACATTCGACATCCGACAGAATGTAGTAAGGTTGAAATAACAATATACGGTGACCAAAAAAGAAAAGGAAGTCGGTGGAGGCAATCTCGCAACTAGATAACAGTTTGATGGATAGCAGCTGTAACTGGAAGTCGACTTATACATGTAGCCAAAGCCTAGGCCTGCAAATGGTTGATGTAGCAAGTTCAAATGAAACAATCAGGTGAGCTCGCAGCGAGCACATGTAGCGATCCTGGGATTACTTTAGTTTTTGTAGTATCAGCTGTGTAATTGGATTGCACGACGCAACCACAAAATGGACCGCGACAATCTGGTAGTGAAATAAGTTGTGTGACGTCTTGTAATATGGCTGGAATCGATCGGGGAGTCATCATCTAGGGAGGCTTGTCGGACAACCGGCTAATGTATTCATTGGGCGCACGACGTTTCGGTTTCGTGTCAAAAGATGCCTGAAGAAGCAAGCCATCTGTAAGCAAACCACTGCGAGCTCATGCTAATAAAACAAGTGAGAAGACCATGTTTGTGGGACCGTGCTTCCACTGTTTCACTACGGGGCAGGTTAAAAGTGGAAAATAAGCGGTAGTATTAGTTTTGTCACAAAATAAATAAACTAGGAAATCCGAGGGGCCGAGGGGTCAATGATACATCCTGGCCGGGCCGAGAGTTAAATTCCCCCATGGATTGACATGTTGATTGGCACTCTCTATTTGCAAGTGAAAACGTTGCCTGCTATCTCTATCTGATGAGATCAATTGTGATCGAAACGCCTCATAGGTGTGCAGTGTTTTCGAGTGGGCAACACCCAATTTCTATGTAGTTAAGACCCGTTTGTAACGTGAGATCAAAAATTCGTGGAGTTATAAGACGAGGATTTGAATTAATAGTGCAGGGTCAACCGGTTTAGTCAATTTGGTTGGCACTCACGGTAGCAGGTGGTAGGTCTCGAAAGGTTGTTTCAATAAGAGCTAAAATGAATGAAACTAGACGAACCAGATGAGAAGTACAGAGGGCACCATATGGAAGCCTCAAACCACCCGGGGGAGATAAGCTGCCCAACAGAAACACGTGAAAAATGTGGAGTTGCGACGAAAGTGGACGGTTGTACGTCACATACTTTTCCCAACGCATATGCATTGGTGACCTTATGAGTCAGCATATGAGCCATTGGCCCGAAACAATTGATCGATAAATGAACAATCAAGAGTAACTGGAAGCTGAGCGAGTACATATCATTCAAATACACGAAAACCAGGAAGTAGTCAGATAAATGTTGGATTGCTGTTCTTTTGCAACATCGCAGTCCCCGACCGATTTATCAGTCGTGTGCAGACAGCAGGTAGAGATAGCAGGACTGTACTAGAAGCCAGGGCTTTCGGGATAGCCATGACCGCTACTACGGAATGACCTAGCCATGCAGTAAGAATTCAGTTTAACGAGGCGCTCGAAACACACGTGTTTTCAACCACTCACCACGCGAAGATGGGGGGAACTGAGATCTCGTTAGTTTGATTATTACCAGTAATTTCAACATTAACATAGTTGCCGTCGTTCAGCAAGCTGAATCATTCTACTGCTGTTTCGCACTCAGTCGTTTGGAGATAGCGCGCGAACGATCGCATTAACCTCGTCATGGGTGCGTAAAGCACACGGTTGACTTAATTTTAACGACAATCGAATACCAGAGCAACTTCAACTGGGGATGTCCAGCAGATCTTTGTTGCGAACTCAGCCTACAGAAAGAGCCGGTAAATTGTGTTTGCTAAATTACAGATACAATTTCTGACAACAAGGCGAATACAGCGAGGAATTTTTAATTTTAGTCTGATGACAGTATTAGCGCGCAAACTGAATTCATTAGCAACACCGGTAGGAGAAAGATGTCAGAGAAATCAAATCAACTGGAGTGGATCTAGCTCAGTGGTTGTGGACGGTGTTAAGATCCAAAGTCTATGGTGGATCACACAACGTAGTGACAAGGTAACGCGTAAAAAGTCGTTGGCTTAACTTACGAAGCCGTACCCCCGACTTTTGCCCGTTTGCCGGTCAGTTATCACCACTGCTTCTTCGATCGGTCCAAACTGCTCGAAGAAACATCTAAGGCTGTCATCTGTGGTGTGGTAGGGTAAACCACCCACGAAGATCTTCGTGAGTGTTGTATCCTTCTGCAGATGACCAACCATGCTCCCGGCCTGCCGTGATCCTCCGCTCAGTGTCATATCGGTCGTTGTGGTTCCGAGTTTCTTCCGGTGGACGTACGTCGGAACACGTGCCGCCGCTTGAACGAGGGAATGCGGAATCAACGGCGAACTTGAACAGGCGTTCAGTGGGTCACTGAGGTCTGGTAGTTAATCCGCACACAGGCCATCCAATGGGTGTGCTACCATTGGCAATCGCCCGGGTTGGTCTACTCAGGTTGCGCGCGCAGTGAGACGTGGTGACTCCGAGGAGTGTGCAACGAAACCAATTAGTGATTGCGGTACAAACACACGTTGACACCAGGCCGTTGAGGTCAGCTTGTCATTGGTGGCCGCACAGGTGCACCAATACAGTTACACCCAGACGGCGCGTAGGCGTGCATGTGGCTGCTACCGTGCTGCGTATTGTGAGCAACGCCAAGCCGAGGATAGCTATTTGTGCTGATGTCGAAATGCGAGCCAATGACAGCAACGCAACTCTAGGGCACAAGGTCGGCCAGGCCTGGAGTGTGGTCTCTAACGCATACAGCAACGCGTACCCTGTTCGAAAGGATGTGACTGTGTAGCGGTCGTTGTATCTCGGTTAGACCGCCATTGATGCTTGCTCTTCACATTTCGTTTGGTGTGTCTTACTAAATGGTATTTCTTGCATTGCAGCTCCCCAGGTCTATTACGACCTAGTACGTACTGGACACGGAAGCCCTCGGAATCCTCGACCGGACGCATATTACAGAAGGCTCCACTTGACAATGTAGCGAGGTGGCCGATGCAGCGTTGGCGAGCCTTGGCGCTGAAACAGGTTACCGTAACGCAGCCACTATATCGCACTTGGTAGCCGCCAATGGAGACACTCCTTTACGGCGATGTCCGCATTAAAATAGTTTGAGGACTGTGCATCAACAATGCAATTCCATCCTCTGCAGGTCGAATTAGTAGATTATATGGCACATCTACGTGTGCACCGCTGGTGCGATAACCCGACTACTAAGGGGCGCGGAACCTGGCGACTGAAGAACCGCTTCCTCGACAGTTCAGTTGATTGGTCAATCGAGCGCCACTGTACAAACTATTCATAGCACACTTGCGTTCAGGATAAGGACACGCACCATTGTTCCACTCACCGATGAGCTAATACAACGCGGAACGTTGGATCAAGCCCGTGTACGTTAGGATTGGCGCATACGCGCCGCCGCCGTCAAAAACTGCAATACGATAAAAATGCTCGTGACCTACCGCAACCAAAAGAAGGGGACAACGTGTGAATGTAGCGAGTTCCTGAGGCTCCTGAAAAATGGGAAAAGGTGTTCTGCAGAGTGACCGGGGCTTCCGGTAGTATGTCATCCAGTGTGGACAAGCTATATCAGGTCAAAGCACGGAGTTAAGCGGCTTTGGATCAATACATAAGCGGATGTCCCCGGACCTTTTTTATGGTTACGACCACATGCCTGACCCAGTCAGTCGACCACTACAATAACCCTCATGTCCAGTAGTCTTTTTAGCACTTCTGAATTCCTCGCGCACCGCTACGTGGACTCCCTTTACTGGCACAGCAAAAGTCACTGCGTCATCTCTTACTGATAGCTTGACGGTACCGGGAATGTGACCCAACGACGAATCAAGTACAGTAGAGTATCAGACGAGAACATCTTCCTACTCCAGTGTGTGAATAAAAACATAATTAATTGTGACGAAGCCCATCCTCTGAATGGTATCCATACCCGAGATTGGCACTGCGTCTCGATCCACAACGAAGAACTCAAGTACATACTATCGTCCGTACTTGGAATTGGTGCCTTTGAGGCTGGTAATAGCTATGGCAGCGGCGGCAGTACCAACCCACTTCTTGAGTTTTGTTTCCGACTGCTATATCTTAGAAACATCAACGTAAATCGCTGGTATGACGTTATGTGCCACGTTTATGCGCGATGTGGTTTCACCGCCCTGGTTCATTGGCTTACTACACGACACCAACTTATGGTGCTTGCAGACGTCTCTGGGTTAAACTGAAAGTCAGGATAAAAGTTGCCGAATAATTTATCGTCTGAAAAGGTAGCGCACGTATCGAGGATCCTTTCTTCGACTGTTGGACAACTATACGACTTTGTATGCACTCGAATTGTCGACATTTAAAACAGCATATAAAATTGCACAAAAAGGAGAAGCTACAACTGATGAGTCACATCACTCATATCTCTACTTCTACCCTTAGGTAGTACATAAACGCAATGGCTTCGGCAGGTGAAAAGCGAAGCACAGATGGAGTCGAGCCCACCCCTCTCCATTCCGCAGCGGTTTAGTGGTCCGTAGTGCCCTGTGAACTCAGCACCTTCTGTAAGGACGCGGGCGACCTATGCTAGGTTGCGATCCACGATGATACGAAGTCAGCAGAACTTACCCTGTGGCATAGGATATTGAGGGGAACACAGGTCTTAGGCGAACACAACGCGACGGTTATACCGCGACCAACCTCATAAAGCTAATCTTGGGCACCACTGTCATAAAGCATTGATTGAAATGAAGGAAGTTAACCATTCGGCCGCCACAGACTTGTAGACCAGCATCCAGAATACATAGATTATCGACTGCTGGTAATTGTCACAACCCATACTGCTGTCATCACTCGTACGGAAACCCAGCGATTGGTTACACTGGTCCAGTTACTAATGGGACATTGCGCCCGTAACTGCGCCCCCGGATGGAGCGACGAAATATGCAGTCAGAGCGGTTCACTGCATCTGGGCTACACAATCTATCTCGTCAGCTGGATGCTTGTCCGCGATGAAAGCGGTGTCAGTTATTTCTACACGTTAGAGACAAAGCAAGTAATTAGGGGAACAAGTCGACCAATTTTGGTTTAAGTAGCAGCCTGGTACAACGGTATTGCGAGTAAGCGATATTAGTGGTGAGTTAAAACGAAGACAACGCTAAAACATATGCTATTCGTTGGGCTGTTTTTAATAGTATTTGTCCCAACTATGTGATACTAAACTAGGCAAACCTGCTAGAACATGGTAGGACTATGCGCTGAAAATTGAGAATAATATTGGCCTGGGCGTGAATAACTGAGGAAATTCCTGTGGAGCGCGACATTTTGTTGTCATTTGCCCGTATGAGGTGTATGGATTTACACTTTACGAAACACCGACCCTCGAATGTAGTGTATTTACTGTGTGTGGTTGAAATTTTCCGTGTCGAACGCAAACGGGGCCAGCGGGCTGCTTATCTTACACGCATCTTCGAGTGATGGGGAAAGAGGCGGTAGGACGAAGTTGTGAAGATAACGGCGTCAAAGCTTGTGCCACTACCGTGCGGTGACTGATGCTGACAAAGATGGAGCTGGCAGAATGTCATTCATCTGTTTTAAGGCAGTAGGGACGCAGAACATAGACCACGGCTGTTTGCTTTCGACCCTACCCTTACGGTCGTTACGGACCTGCTGTACAGCCTTGTGTGTCTCATGACACAGACAAGGACGCGGCGGCCAAGACAGTTAGATATGCCGACCATGTACGGGTAAGAAGCCGGGCATCAAAGCACGTTTACGGCGTGGTTTTGTACTCAGAACAGAATTGGCCCAGGTTGTTTAATCCGGGGGTGGAGGCTAACTTGTCAAGCTGCCTCTTCACTTCATTTTGTTAGCACCGAAGCCCTGTGTGTAACCACAAACTGGTCACAAAGCATGGAGTATAAATTCGTTTTACTAGTATATCTTAATCACCAAAAAATGAATAGAAGGGTGTCCGGAGCAATTTAGCCGACTCTCAATTGTTGCTTCAACTGTCTATGAGACTTGTGTTGTATGGTGCTTTGTGATCCTCTATGCCAGGAACTGCTTAAGCACATTCAATTGGCGCTGTGGTTCGCAGTGTGCTGTCTCCAAAAACAGGTACGTGGAGTCGACTTCACAGTGTTCCAGGTTTACGCGGTGGTCACCGACAAACGACTAGTCACCTTTGGACAACGCAATCTACACTACAGCGATGGGTGTACCGCATACGCGACAATAGAGTATTGGTTTATAACGAGTAGAAACAAATGCCCAGCAGTGAAATCAAGATGAGCACTTGTCGCGTTGTTCCCCAATTGCGCCTACTCACTATGATGTTTATAACACAACACCAGCCGGAACCGGAGTATAATCTATTTCAAGAGGCAATGTGTTTTATAGGAATGCAAAGGAATTAAAGCATATGATACAAATCAATGAAACTTCAAGCTCTTCGCATCTTGAGCACAGTTTGACCAGTCAACGAAAGTTGATGTGCACTGAATCTCAGATTGAGTTCCATGCAATTGCAGTGGATTTACCCATTTGCTTTGAACAGTTTTCGATAAAATCAGACTCGGTTGATTCAATCCTCTAGCAAAACTGTAGCCTGGCTTCAGTGGGAAAACCTCAGAGAAACCGCCTGTCTACCGGTGCATCTCGGCACTAAAAAAGCCAAAAGTTGGTGCAAAAATGAGGCTGGATTTTTTCTTACCAACTGTTTAACCACGAGATTTCCGCCTAAGCGTACGCAAGAATGTTGGAGAAACTGCATCGCATTGGACACTTCGCGCCAGAAAGTAGCTACAACCGGGCTATTAGATGCTGATAGCAGCAAATAAGGGCTGCCTCGGATGGAGTCAGAAGAAATTTTGGCGTTACTGCGTCGCAGAAATCTTTTGTTAGGCAGTGACTGTTACCATGAAGTGTACTGGTATACGTGTGTCCACTCATGTTAGTTCTTGCAATAGGCTAGCGACAATGGTAGCTACCGGCATAAGTCATCCCCTTCAGGATTTATGTCGACCTCATCAAGTCTATATATGTTCGAACACGAGCCTACCGTTGGGTTATTATTCCGTATCTAGCACGATTTTCGTTACAACCTAACAAAGTCGTCCGGCAACTAAACAACCAGTGTTTTCCATTTACTAATCCACTTTGTACTGCATTTATATCATGCAACATCATGAAGCATGTGTCTTACATCAGATTATTCACCCATCCAGGGTGCACAAACACTTTCTGACTTGACGCTTCCCGGGATGGCGGAGTTTAGAGATAGCCGATACAAAGCTACCAGTTTGTAAGCCTTGAATTATGTGGATATGGCTTGTGTCCATTGTGAAAGGACTATGGTCATACAATGAATTAGTTTTCGGAACGGCATCAGTACATACAGTCAAAAACGGCCCGCACAAGAATAGGGGGATCACGCTGCAAACAACTTTCAAGACTGCAGGTAAGTTGACAAAAGAAACTAA